GGCTGGCTCGGGCGCCTCCTCCGCCCGCCGGCCCGCCTCCGTCAGTGAGGGCTCTCGGCTCCAGGTAGTCCCAGTCTTCACGTACTTGCCCTGCGCTTGCCCTCCTTCTTCACGGCTGGCCCTTCCTATTTCGGGAAACCCTGAGCTCTGGAGAAGCTGGGATGCAGTGTTAAGCCTTCTTATGGTTCTTAGGGACGTACAAGACCTCCTGTATCTACGGTTCTTGAGAATTAAGTCAATCCTCAAGTTCTTTGGTCTTCACCAAACTACAAATAAATGCCAGTTCTTCTTAGTCTCAAGATTCAAACTGACCCAGCGGCTTTCGCTTCGTAGAAGTTTGCTGTCGCAGCTGGCTTTTCATGGTAAACGGGCTTAATCTCTGTGTACAGCTGCCATCAAGCGTTCAGGCTTGACAGCTCTTTGTTTTATAGCATAAAACTAGACTAAGCCCAGCTGTAGTGCAGGCCTGCCAAGGCATACAGTCAAAATACATATTTTTATTTGCAGGTACAACATGCAAGTAAACAAATTGCCGCTGATAAGCAGTACAAGGGTATCATCGATTGTGTAGTGCGTATTCCAAAGGAACAAGGAGTGCTGTCTTTCTGGCGAGGAAACTTGGCAAATGTCATCAGATACTTCCCAACGCAAGCTCTCAACTTTGCCTTCAAGGATAAGTATAAGCAGGTGTTCTTGGGAGGTGTAGACAAGCACACTCAATTCTGGAGGTATTTTGCTGGTAACCTGGCATCTGGTGGTGCAGCTGGAGCCACTTCCCTCTGCTTTGTCTACCCCTTGGATTTTGCAAGAACCCGTTTGGCTGCTGATGTTGGAAAAGCTGGTGCAGACAGAGAATTCTCTGGTCTAGGGGACTGTCTAGTCAAAATTACCAAGTCTGATGGTCTGCGTGGCTTGTATCAAGGGTTCAATGTCTCTGTCCAAGGCATCATCATCTATAGAGCTGCCTACTTTGGGATCTATGATACAGCAAAAGGTAAAACTTCAGACAGGGTCCGATAAACCCATTTTCAGAATTGTACTGTCTCTCTATGTCTGTTCTTGGACGTTACTCTGGGTCTGTCTGTAGCAACTATAGTTTATGTGGGCGTGGAGGCGGAGGGGGGATATCGGTGCCAGCATCAGTGATACTGCAGTGTTCAAGGCAAAACTCGGGTGTGTATTGATGGTGGCAGGCTACTTTCAAATACTCCTGGTTTTGTACTTGTCCTTAAAGGAGTTTTTCCTCATGCCAGCAAAGCGTGTTGGTAACCGTACACAATTACAAGTTCTTTTTTGTTCAGTGCGTTACTGTAGTTATATTAAACCAGTTCAAGTGTGTTTAGCAGGACGGGATTGAGCACTGCTTCTACAAACCACTTGTTGGTTAAGCTTGACATTTGGGCATAGAGGTCGTTGATACTAGCTTATAGCTTAATGTAATTCACGGGGACAATTACTTATTTTAGTGACACTTATTTCTAAAAAGAGTGGGGAATAGTTAGATCTCTTCTTTCGCCAGTCTGAAAAGAAGCCCGGTGCCTAAATGCTACCTTTTTTGATGACTGAGAAGAAAATCCTGTTAATTTCCTTGGTTTTTTTTTAAATACTGCTTCAGCATGTTTAAATTTTATCAAGTGCCTTGGTGCAACTTCAAAGTATGGCTTTACAGTGTTTCATAATACTTTCTCTAGTAAAGTAGTTGTCATGCAGTGAGCGAACTGGAGGAGGATGTACAAGATAAAAAGCTAATTACTTTTTTTTATTGCAGGCATGCTCCCAGATCCCAGAAATACTCACATTGTTATCAGTTGGATGATTGCCCAGACGGTGACTGCTGTGGCTGGTGTGGTCTCCTATCCTTTTGATACAGTGAGGCGTAGAATGATGATGCAGTCAGGACGCAAAGGAGGTAGGCTGTTAAATTTGTGCAGTTCTTCAAGCAGCATTAACAAGACGGAGTGCTTTTTTCCTAATAGTCATCCCTCAGCACTTACAGTTCCTTCTTCCATAAATCTGGTTTAAGTGATATTTCATATAAATGATATGAGGAACTGCAGTAGGGTCATAACTTGTGGTGTTTGTCAGGAATTACGCTGATGACTTTTCTTTATAGAGTATGCAACGGGCAAACGGACTGCCTATTTGCAGTGACAAATTAATTGAAGGCAATTAGGGGACAGTATAATTGCCAAAAAGAACGCTTAACACTTTTATTTTGTGCTTAGCTTTTAATGACTAGGCAAGCAGATAGGAAGCTTTTCTATTGCCTGAACTAGTATTGTGTTACAGTCTTAAAATGTGGTTGGGATATCACAAAGTAGCTAGAGAAGTGAAACAGGGCAGTTGTTAAAAACATCTTGGATACAATTATAGGAGTTAAAAATGACTCTTTGCTCTTTTTCTACAGCTGATATCATGTACTCTGGAACAATTGACTGCTGGCGGAAGATTGCAAGGGATGAGGGAGGAAAGGCGTTCTTCAAGGGTGCATGGTCTAATGTTCTCAGAGGCATGGGGGGTGCTTTTGTGCTTGTGCTGTATGACGAATTCAAGAAAGTCATTTAAGCAGCCTAACTAGAATGGGAAATCAAGTTGAGCAGATCATGTAGAATAACTACCATTATGGACCATTGACCTTCAAGAAATTCCTGTGAGTCTTATTTATCGGAACCAGATGATATTTGTAGATGGGACTAGAAACTGACATAGAGGACTGATCCATTTCTCGGTAACACGCATGAAGACACTGAATCTGGCAATTCAGTGTGGTGATGTTTTTTCCCCAGCAACGAGGAATGAGTGGCGTTGGTTCTGGGTCCAAAGTGGCTGGGTCCAGTTTAGGCAGAAAACTCTTTGCCTGTGGATCAGTCCTCGGTTTCAAGTCCTATCTTCTAGGACCATAAAATTGTATTTGAAAGTACTTGCTAACAAATCATGTTCTTTTCCACTTGTACTGAAGCACTATGTACCATTTTGCACAGCTGAACATCTAGCAATTTTGTTCTTAAATTGGGGCATTCTGCTGTAAAACAATAAACATACTTACTCTACCTGTGTTGAAATTATTACATAAAAGCTTTGGGAAAGCCTCTTTTGTTTGAAAACTTGTTTCAGATAATGGTTCATCTGATACACTGCACTCTGTAACAGAATAAGCTTGATTTTTTTTTTAAGAAATAATTGAATGTGAGAACTTGGGGGGCGGGGGGGAAGCATGGGTTATACTAATAGAAACCACTCCCATTCTTTGTGCCTGATAGTGTGTGACGGGCTGCTGCAAGTGGCTTTTTGCATGATTTTTAGAAATTGGTGTGCAACTTTTCATATGATTTAAAATGGGGGGTTTTCTGTTGTAGTGCTAGGAGAACCCAAAGTGCCGAGGACAGTCAAACAGTAATACTCTTGCCCTTGGTAAAACAGATTAAAATGAAATCAGTTTTTAAAAATCAATATAGAGAACAACATGGCATTCATGCAAAAACCCAGGAAGCTAGTAAATGCCTTCAACTTCCGAGTAACCTATGTATTGTATTGTTGCTGCTCTTTGGAAATGCTGATTGTGCCATTCAGGGTACTGTTTGGCCTGACCTGTAGCAGTGGTCAGTACATCTGTGGAAGGTGAACTTAATCTGAAATGAGGCTCATTCGAAGAGGTGAAGTTGATGCGGTGTGTGGGAAGGTATATGTACGCTTCTGTGTAGCTGTAAAATATAGATCAAGGTAGGTCAGCCTTCAGTATTAACTGATTGATGTCTAGTTCTGGGGATTGTCGGAAGACCAAAATCAGGTTGAATAATTTCTCATACTGCTATTTGAGATTACGTAATACCTATGTGCTGTTCTTCATATGTATATAATCTTACTTTTGTACTTTGTAATCTGCAAAGGCATATGGTAGGGGGACCAGTAAAGGAAAACAAGGTGTTCATCTTCCAATTGTGTTTTTAAGAACTCTCCCTATGTCTTGAGAAGGAAACGGTGTGTAATTGTGTAAGTCATTGAAGGCTGACTGAGCTGTCCTGAGTTTTTGTGTGCCTTCTGAGGTTGCTGTTCAAGATGAAGTACTTAAATTAACTACTTGGCTTTGGCTGATTATTACCTTCCTCTCAAACATAACTTACCTGTTTCACTGTTGCAGAAGCACTGCTTTCAACATCTGTATGTGAATGTAAGTACCTTACACAGCTACTTTGTACACAGACTAATAGCAGACTTTATGTACCTCCTGCAAGTGGTTTTATCCCGTTGGGTAATGGTAGCTCTCTCGTGGTGCTGGCAGGTCATTTGATGTTGACTTTGCCAATCAATCTGCTGTTTCAGTTGTAGTTATATTGATTTTTGGGGGGTAGGGGAAGAGTTTTTGTCTATAAAAAATATATTGCATAGGTTTATTTCCTGTATCGGTGGCTTGAAAGGTAGAGATAACGATAGAATACCTCCCATAACCTCACTGAGCGTATGGTGGCCCTGGCTTTGTGAGGAAGAACCAAACATGACAATTACTTGAGCAGCCCCTGAAAAGGGGAGGAGATGTTTCCCCCCGCCTCCTCTCCAGAACTAGGTTTTAACCAGAAGAAATAGGAAAAGAAATCAATGCAAGTGTGGGTGGTTTTTTTAAGTGGAACTGCGATTTACCTATGCTGTGCGTTCAACATGTACTACTTGGTGTTCATTTTTTTAGTATATGGCTTCCCTTAGTCATGCAGCAGCGATTTTCAATGTGTGATTATGCAGTGTGGGAACATAACAGGCAAACAATAAATGAGACTTTTAAAAAAAAAGCATTTTTCTGCCTTATTGAAACACTTGGTGAAATGTATTTATTTTGAAAAATGTTTTTAACAGGAAAGTATCTGGAATTTGTAAAAAAAAAATACTGGCATCTAAAGCCTATATTTTAAAAAGGCATCAGAAGTAGGACTTGCACACTGAAGGGAGTAAATAAAATGCATTGGTGTGAGGAAATACTTACATTTAAAATCCAGTTATTAAATCTCATTACAGATTTTATTCCCATTCTCAACTGTTAAACTGGACTTTTTTGAAGACGTAAATACTATCTATGTGGGTTAAGTCCATATCAATATTGCAGAGGCTTACATCTGCATCGGAAGTACTGAGCTAATGAAATAGCGGCTGAGAGGCAGCCCAGCATTAATAGTTACTTTTGGCAAATGTCATTTTATTTCCCATTTTCTGTTTTGCATACGGTTTATTGAATATACTGAGACTGTTTGGTATTGCTGGTTGCAAGGCTGAAGGGCAATTTTACACACATTTTGAATAGCTAGTTTCCCCTTCAGAAAATACTCTAGGTATATAAAAACGATAAGCTGGGAAAACGTAACTACTGTGGCATTCTTGAGCAGTCCTATTCATCCTATAGGAAATCACTATATTCAGAGGAAAGAAGCATCATCACAATGGAGACGGGAAGTAGTAACAAGTTTCTTCCGTGTTGTGGGTGAGAGGCCTTGTCTCGCGTTGTGAAGAAAATCTCAGCAAGGTTTGAGCAAGTCTTCACAGTAGGTGTTTGCAGAAAAGCTTAGCTGCCAGGCATTGTGGTTTCGAGCAAAGGGAAAAGAACAATTTTACTGATTTTTCTCCACTTTTTTCCCCTGCTCCATTTTAGGTGGATTTTTATGGGACAAATAGTTTTATACATGATGATACTTGTTTCTAGTCTGTGCTTTGAAGTACTCCTTAGTTGTCAGGAGGATCCATGATTTTCTTTCATGTTGGGGAATTCAGGTGTGTTTTCTTTTTGGAAAGTTAGGTCATCTCTTCAACCATAGTTATTTCCTCGGTACAACTTTTTCTTGGTAGATGTACATATTCTGTCTAAAGAGAGAGAAAATTCTGTAACATGCAATAAGCTACAGAGTCACTGATCAGGGAACATTTCTAAACGTTAGACGCACCAGTACCAAAGGCACCTTGTCTTGCTATTTTAATACGTAAGAAATGCTTGCAAAGCAGAAGAAAACAGTTTAAAGACAGTTACGGATTGTTTGACTTTTAACATGTATGATCAGTGCTAGCTATTTGTCAGCTGAAGGAAAAGAATAAAAGTTGATTTAAATGCTGGACTACTTTAACTGAGACTAGAAGAAATGTGTTCAGTGAGTATTGCCTGAGTTTTCCGTATGTAGGCATTAACTAGACTTTTAGAGAAAACATTTTCGTTGCTATCATACGGTTTTATGTTGGTTAACATGGAGTTCTACGAGAGTGGAAGTTGCTGGGTAAGACCATAGTACTGGTACAGAGCTTGGGGCTTAAAATATTGAGGGGGGATACATTTGATTTTTAAAAAAATAGGAGGGGTAGTACTGGAAAAACAAGGGGCTGGGGGGGGGGGGGAGAACATCGTGTGGGGTATGGGGGAGCAAGCTTGCTGTTGTATTGAGGGTATGTTGCAGAACATCAAACCAGGATGTCTTGGTGGGGAATTTTGTCTAGGAAATCTGTGGGATTGGTAAGCACTGCAGGGCTTCATGGTCATGGGGTTTTATGCTACTCAGCCATTCGCTGAGGAAAGCAATGCATCTGCACACAGTGTCTCTCGCAAGTTCTTGGAATGTCTTTAATTCAGGAAAAGCAGAAAACAAAGTATTAAAAATGCCATTCTGAGTGAGGGTGAAGAAGCATTTGGGGTGGCAATGACCAAAAAGTGAAGGAAGATGAGTAAAGTAAAATGGGTTAGAGGAATGCAAGGTATCTGATGAACTGAGTGAATTGGTTGGTAGGATCTTACTCAAAGCAGACAGGAAAACTGGCAGTTCTTTAGCACGACTGTCAAAGATACAAGTGCAAACTCAGTGCAGAAAGGTTAGGGTTGTAAATCATGAGGTTTTTCAGTGATCTAAGGAAAAGTTGTATTGTAAAACAGGACAGTGAGAAAATGTGAAAGGTCGTTGAGTAAGTAGGGACAAAATGAGGAAATGCAAGCTTTAAAAAGGTGTGATTAAAGGACATTACAGGTTCAAAATAGCTCTTAAATATATTAACACACACTAAATGCCAGGAAGAGATAGTCCTGGTGTTCAATGGAGAAGGAGAGCTCTACTGAGAACCTATTTGTGCTTTATTATCCGCTTTGAAAAATTACAGCATTCAATCAGTGTTAGATACCTCAGCATGGAGAGAAGAGGTAAAATAAAACCAGGCTTTAAGACTAGATTAAAATAGGCAAAAGAGTCTTTAGAGTAGAAACTTTAGACACATCAGAGGCTTACGAATTACCTTCATGGTGCCTGTTGGCAGGTATGAGGCAACCTGAGCTGAGGGCTTCACTTGAACTCTGACGATTACTGCTGATAAGTTGCTGCCTGCGTGGAAGTGCCTGTGCCAACGTTTACAAAACCACATCCACAAAGGCTTCTGGGTTGTAGTGGAGTCATTTGAGTAATTCTGGTAGTGTACGCACAGGAATTTGGAAGCCCCCTCAAGTTTAGTAAAAGCAAGCAACGTGGAGGGTCTGTAATTTTTGAGAGTCTGCTTGCTACTTTACTAGCAATTACTGTTTAATAATTTGATGGACTATGGACTGCTGCTCTGTAGCCTTAGCCCTGGCAGCCTGACATGAAGTGACATATTGGGTATTTATGACTTAAGATATATTAGGAAACTCATCCAAGTTACATTGCTACCTGCCTTCTATTAAAGCGAAAGATGATAGGACCAAAGACAAATAAGTTAAGACAATGTGCTAGTATAGAGTTACCAAAACTGGAAAGTTTTAGTAGTAATAGCTTTGAGGATTCTTTGTAAAGGATTTGTGTCGCTTTTGAAAAGCTTTTGAAAGCCTCATTGAAAAGGGTGGTGTTGCCCACTGAAACATTGTAGGCAATAAACAACTGGCCTGATTTATTGACTTACAAGTACATCTTTGCTTTAGCCAGCTGATACAAAGCATTCCCTCACTATGCAGACACTGTGCAAAC